TCGCGCTCGGGCCCCGCCCCCAAGCGCCCGTGTGGCGGTGGTTGATTCTTCGCTTGCCCACTGAGCCTGGCAGCCTTCTGGCCCGTGGTCGTGCCTTGGCAGTCCCGCGCAGGAACTCGAGCGCTGCCCCGTCTCTGGTTCCGGGACGGAACGCAGGCCTCGTCCTGCAGCCTCCCGCGGCTTCCCTTCCGGGAAAGGGGCCCGGACGACCCCGCCCCTGCTCCTGGGGCCTAGGCGGGGCTCGGAGCTACTGCGCGCCTCCTTGGGCCGGACTCAGCCTTTGAGTCAGCTTGTGCATAAAATGGGATCAGCTGTGAGGCCTAAGTGCGAGTATGTGACTGGTAGTTCACCCGGGGCCTGGTACACAGTAGGGGCCTCAGGGTGGGAGAAGCAGGTCCTAGGTTCTCCCAGCCCCGTGAGGGGGCAGCAGGAGAGCCCAGGGTCCCTTCTGGGGCTGACCGAGGAGATCACCGTGGGCTTGACCTTCAGGGCACCATGGTTCCTTCTAGAATGCAGGCAGGGTGAACTGGACGAGCTGTATCAACGCTAAGAGAATCATGCGGTGTTTGGGCAAGAAGAGAGGTTGGGAGGCCGCCTTGTGGTACATGTGCATGACTCTGAAGCCCAGAAAGGGAAAGGGTTTTGTTGTCAGACACGCAGCAAGGCTGCAGAGGCTGGACTCCTACTGAGGACGTCTTGACTCCCAGCCCAGGGAGTGAAGAAAAAGCGTCCCAAGGGGCTGGGATGTGAGAGAAGCCCCCTTCTGGGGTGGGGCACTGGCGCTTTCTACCTTGAAGAATCCTGGAACACGGGCCTGGGACTGCAGCCGGTGTGGGCTGGGGCAGGGGAGGCTCCTGATTGTCCCTCCTTTTCTGTCCACATCTTCATGATTCCCAGGCCTCTGCTTCACTCCCTCATTGCTCATTTCTTCTCTTCCCAATACGGTTGTAAGATGCTTAAGGAATTTATTTATTTTTTAAATTTTACTGAACTCCTGACCTCAGATGATCCGCCTGCCTTGGCCTCCCAAAGTGCTGGGATTACAGGCGTGAGCCACCGCGCCCGGCCACTTAAGGCATTTATTAAAGAACATCTGGAGTTCCTTTTTTCTTTATTGTGTAAAACATACATAACAAAATTTACCATTTTAACCATACAATTCAGTGGCAAAAGTACATTCACATCGTTGTGCAACCATCACCACCATCCATGCAACAGGACTTTCTCATCTTCCCTTCGCCCAGGCTGGAGTGCAGGGGCCGGATCTCAGCTCACTGCAAGCTCCGCCTCCCGGGTTCACGCCATTCTCCTGCCTCAGCCTCCCGAGTAGCTGCGACTACAGGCGCCCGCCACCTCGCCCGGCTAGTTTTTTGTATTTTTTAGTAGAGACGGGGTTTCACTGTGTTTGCCAGGATGGTCTCGATCTCCTGACCTCGTGATCCGCCCGTCTGGGCCTCCCAAAGTGCTGGGATTACAGGCTTGAGCCACCGCGCCCGGCCGGAGTTTCTTAACTGTAAAGTTGAATTGAATATTTTACATGATTTTTGGAAAACATTCTTCCCAAATTAACTGAGAGGTTAACTGCTTGTGGTCTGTATTTTTTTTTTTTAAACAGGGTCTCACTCTGTTGTTCAGGCTGGAGTGCAGTATTGCAATCTCTACCTCCCTGGGCTCATGTGATCCTCCCATCTCAGCCTCCCAAGTACCTGCTACTACAGGTGCACGCCACCATGCCCAGCCTGTACTTCGTTTCTGAGGATCAAGGCCTCACAGACCCTGTGTGTGTGAGTGGGACCGTGGTCACTGTTTTCTTAGTGGATTGGCTCCTCCTCATTAGTAGAGAGACCTGTGATGCCTCCATGCCCTGCAGTTCCAGCTTTTAAAGTTGTGTGTGTGTGTGTGTGTGTGTGAGAGTCCTATTGGGGTCCACCTTTCAGCCCTGTCTTGCAGCTCAAACTCCAGCCACAACTGTGGCCCCGTGCAGCTCAGAGAAATCAGGTTGGCTCAGGGGCTTTTCCTACTTTAAGGCAGAGGGTGAGAAGGCTGTAGCTGGGCCCAGCTAACATCTCACCTGCTCCTGGGTCAAGAGGTGATACAGTTGGAGGTCAGACCAGGCTGAGCCATTTCCTGGGCCAGGAGTATCTTATAGCATGGCACAGGACAGCACCAGGAGGCCTCACCTTCTTCCTGCTCAGAAAAGCCCACTCCTTGACTCTGGCCCCGTGGCAAGCAATCATCTGTCCTTTATCTCATGCCTGGCCCTCTAGGCAATGTTGGAGACCAAGAGGGTAGGGGATGGAAGTGGCTGAGCCAGGATTTGAACCCAGGGCATGGCGTTTCTCAGCAGGGTTGGCACCAGCATTCTTGTTGAGATGATTTGTCATTGGGTAAGCTGGTCTTTTCATTTTAGGTGTTTGCTATCCCTGGCCCTGCCCCCTGAATGCCAGGGTGTCCTGCAATCATTGTGATGACCAAAAGCATCCCATGTATTTCTAGTGGTCTCCTAGGGACCAGGAGGAGAGAGACCTGGGTAAGTCCACTTCAGATTCAGCTATAAAAAGGGATATTATCCTTGTGGTTAGTTTAGCTGTCATGGGACACAGCAGGACTCAGTAAATGTACTTCTCTCTCTTCCAGAAAGGGGTACTTTGAGGCTCTACTGCCTTTCTTGGCAGGAGGCCTGAGGTCCCCCAGCCCTTGAGGCTCAGCTGTGAAGCAGGGTGCTCCTCAGTGTCTCAGCTGGAACCTCGAACAAATCATTGATTCCTCTACCGCCTCTGTGCTCACCCTGGGAGCTTTGAGGACTCAGCAGACTCTAAATGTTTAAGCTGGCAGCTGACAAGTTTACAGGCATTAGGATACAAGGTATGAGACCGCAAGGGGGCAGCAGTGAGCCAAAAATGCCCCATCCTGCCCAAAGGAGCAGGAAACACCCCCTCAGAAGACTGGGGAAGTAGGGGAACACATGGCTTCTACCCCCACAAGGATCTACCTGCCAACCACCCAGCCTCATGGAGCTGCCTATCAGATTCTATGCTCTGCCAGACAAGCTTCGGGAGGACGAATTAGAGGACAAACCCAAGAGCCTAGGTGCAGTCCCAAGCCTGCCACTATGTCCTGGCTGTGCATCCTTGGCCAGGTGATTACCCTCTCTGAGCCTCAGTTTTTCCCTATGTAAAATGGAAATAGCGACACCTATCACACAAGCCCTGGGCTTCACAGGGCTGGCGAGGGGATCAAGTGAGGTTCCTGGATGGAGGGAGGAGGAAACTGTGAAGTGTAGCATGCAGATGGTGAGGTTACGCTGGAACTCCAGAGGAGGCGTGGACACCCAGTGACCTCCATCCATCATCACAGCCCCACTGTGTTTCTCTTCCTTCTCCTACTACTGGCTTCCCTGTTGACTCAGACAACTGGCTGAGTGATGTGGCCTGCCACTTATTGCCAGTTCCTTAGGGAGACAGAGGAGGGGACTGGATATATCCCTCCTTCCTTAGCCAGTGTGTGGCCGAGCCTCTTCTGCTTAGCAAGGCCATGTCACAGAAGTCTGAGGGGGACCGCCCATACTGTGGCCTGCCCTAGGCCTCAGTCCTTGGAGACTCAGACACTGTCAGTGCAATGCACCAGCACTGTCAGAGACACCATCACTGCAGGCCCTCCTTTTTTTTTTTTTTGAGACGGAGTTTCGCTCTTGTTGCCCAGGCTGGAGGGCAATGGTGCGATCTCAGCTCACTACACCTCTGCCTCCTGGTTTCAAGCGATTCTTCTGCCTCAGCCTCCTGAGTAGCTGGGATTACAGGCGTGAGCCACCACGCCCGCCTAATTTCATGTTTTTAGTAGAGACGGGGTTTTTCCATGTTGGTCAGGCTGGTCTCGAACTCCCGACCTCAGGTGATCCGCCCGCCTCAGTCTCCTGAAGTGTTGGGATTACAGGCGTGAGCCACCACACCCAGCCCATGGCCCTTCTGGTCTAGGCCACCCTGGGTTTGCTTGGTTTTGTCATCTGTAAGAGGGTCTCTCTCTTAGGGTTGTTATAGGGACCAGCTGTGGTGAGAAGTGGGAACACTTTGCAGGACTGTGGCCCTTGCTCAGCAGCCTTGGAGTCAGGAGAGATGAAAATCAGAACCGAGTGTGCTTCTGGGTGAGGGACACACCCTACATTCTTCGCATACTTTGCACTGGATCCTCACAGAACCACAATCTGAGTGCTAAGTAGTGCCCTGTCATTTCACAGCTGAGGTGGCACTTTGCATTTTTTCAGAGGGGGCTGCAACAAGATCTACAATTCCACATTTTCTCCTTGAAATATGATGTTGACACTTTCCCGTGGAGAGGTGGGGTCTAATTCTCCTCCCTCCACTCTTTCAGAAAGTGACACCACGTGACTCCTGAGACTTGGCCCTAAAGGGTGACACAGCTTCCAACTGGCTGACCTGGGACAGTCACTTTTGGAATCCAGCCACCATGTGGGAGGCAGCCTGGGTCACATGGAGAGGCCACAAATAAGTATTTGCCATCTGAGGTCCCTGCTATAGCCAGCAGCAACCACCATGTGAGAGTTTGAGTGAGAAGCACCCACACTGAGCTCATTAACCACACACTGTACAAGAGAAATTGAATTTTTTTTTAAAGAGAGGAATTTCTCTACGTTGCTCAGGCTGATCTTTAACTTCTGGGCTCAGGCAGTTCTCTCGCTTCAGCCTGCCCAGCAGCTAGGACCACAGGCATACATTAACCCAGCCTACCAGCGTTAATTCTTTACTTTTGGTAGAGATGGAGTTTCACTATGCTGCCAGCCCGGTCTCGAACTCCTGGGCTCAAGTGATTCTCCCATCTTGCCCTCCCAAAGTATTGGGATTAAAAGCATGAGCTGCTGTATCTGGCCAAAATGACCATTGTTTTAAGGCAACAAGCTTTGGAGAGATTTGTTATGCAGCAGTCTGGTAACCGCAATAGAGGAGCACACAGGGGCTCAGTTTGACGGGTAGTGACTTGCTAGAAGACTCAGCTGATGTGTGGCAGGACCAGGCGATGAATCTGTGTCTTCCGAACTCCAAATCCCATCTTTGCCCTGACCCTGAACTTCCTCCTTTGGTTTCTGGGATGGCTGTTACTCAGGGAGAGTCCCTTTTCCCTCCCCACCCATCAGTGGCCAGGATGAAACCACAGGCAGAGGTGCCCCAGGGACAGTCCGCAAGGACAGGCACACCCAGACACACACTTGTGGTTTATTACACACAGTGATCTCCATCTACACAGAAATGGAAGGCAAGCAGCCAGGATGGAGCTGGCTGCTGGGAACACTTGCTGGAGGTGGAAACGCCTCTCGTCAGAGCGTGGGTGGGTCTGGTGGCAGGCCCTTTGCTCAGGACAGCTGCGAACCAGCCTGAGGTTTGCTTTGCCTGCACAGCCCACCTAGAGAGCCATTTTTGGCCAGAGTTCTGGGTGACAGACCTGGGGCCAGTGAGACCCAGACTCTGAGTGGGAGGCCTGCCTCCCTGGGCCAGGCCATGTCCCATCTCGTCTCTCTCTGGGTGATATGGAAACAGACACAGGAAGGAGCAGTCAGTCCAGCCTGGGCCCCTCCCTCCCCGACACTCTGCCCCCTGGAGCTGGGTCCACATCACAGAGATCACAGCTCAGCCACTGCTTCGGGCCAGAGGACATGTGTTCTCAGGGCAGGCTGGCCTCCCGAGGCCGACTGAATGCAGTAGGAGCTAGACCCTCTTGGGGGATTTTCACTCACTGCTCCCCGGGCCCAGCTGCAAGTGCTGGGCGAGTCTTGTCCAACTGTAGAGGCAGCTGGTTGTGGTTGAGTTGGGAGGCTGGTGAGGCCGGGAGCAGCAGCCGCTGTTCCACCCCTGGGTCTTCTTGGACAGGGGGTGTCCCAGGGACTCCAGAGTGTTTGGGGGCAGGTTCTTACACAGCTCAGAGTCTCTCTGCTGATCAGGTGACTGAAGGCCCAACGTAGCATCTTTCTAGCCTTGCCCGAGCCAGGTGCTTCTACCGTCATCTCCTTCCTGGGAAAGCCCAGGCCCGAGGGTGCCCCTCAGGTATACATCTCCCGGGTCTGGCCTGTCCACTTTCCAGCAGCTTCACACGCCAGTGGCTCTGGGGCTGGGTGGGCACACTCTCGAATGTTAAAAGGCCACAGGTAGCGCATTCCGTGAAAAAAGATCAATATATTACTGTTTTGTTTTTACAAAAATTAAAAATGTCCACACAGATCTGTACAGGTGTGAGCTGGGCCTGTGGGTCACTGGAAGAGGAGGAAGAGACTGAAGGTGATGAGGAGCCCGAGAGGCCCCGCCCCCATCCAGGCCACCTTGCTCTGGCACCCCCCATCCTGCTCATTTCCTCGGGAACAGGTGCAGACCCCTCCTCTCTTCCCTCCCCACCACTCCCTCTCCGTGGGCCTATTTGGACAACGTCCCAGGAGGCACTGATGGCTTTGCTCTGCCTGGGCCAGGTGTCAGTTGAGTCCATGTGACCCACAGGGTGGGCTGTACACCATCACCTAGGACCACAGTCCCACGCCTCAGCTGCAAGACGGGAGAGTCAAAACCAGGGTCACGATGGGGAACTTGGCTCTTCAGTCACTGTGCGGGAAGCCACAGGCACCCAGAGGTTTGAGTGACAGCACCCAGGCTCCAGGGCCCTCCCCACTCCGCCACCCTCCCCTGCCTCCCCTGAGCCTGCCCTGGAGACTCTTCCCTGCAAGGTACCTTATGCCAGCAGCCAGGCACAGGCAGCCCGTCGGGGCCCTGGAAAGGAAGAAGGTTTCAGTGATGGGGATGGGGCCTGGGGAGCTCCTCTACACCCCACGTACCCTCCCCTGGTCTGTAGGGAGGTAAGGTCAGGGAGCTGCCAGGTGAGGCTGCTGGGCCCCACTGAGGCAGGGCCACAATGCCTCCTCTGTCCACCCAGGTAGTGGGGTCCTGAGGACATGACGGCCTCTGACTGAGCTTGTCCTGTGTTCCCTCTGTGCTCTGTGGGGACTGCTGTGCAGTGGGCAGGAACAGGAGGGCACTAGGAAGGGATGGGCATTGTGCCAGGCATGCACAGGCTGGCCTGGGTCCTGCCAAGAGCTGTGTGGCTTCCTGCCTGATGTGACAGTGACTCTGGCTCCTCACCCTGGGGCCTGCGAGCTTTCAGGCCTTGGGCAGGAGTGGCTCCTGGAAGGTTTTAAGGATGGCCCAGGAGTTGGCATCCTGCTTCAGCCTGTGCTGGCCCTGCACCGGGCAGGCTCAGGCTGTTGGGGGGTGGGGCTGGGCGGGGGGTGGGGCTGTCTAGTGGCACCTGTGGTGCCCACTTAGCAGCCAGACATAAGCAGGGTCTGGGTTTCCTCAGGCAGCCTGAAGGGTGGGGAAACTGGAGAGGAATAAAGGCTAACTCATCAGGGTCACCAAGGCACAAAACATGTCATTCTGTTCCAAAGCACAGGCATGAGCCTCAGACCCTGGGCATCCCCTGGAATATTCTCACGTGTACACCAGGGGACCAGGCCGGGGACCAAAGGGAAGGTGAGGAGGAGGGCAGAATGGAAAGGAAGGCAGAAGCGAGGAAGGCCGGGGCCCTGGCTGCCCCAAAGGCCCACACAGCACACGGCACACGGCACACAGCAGGCCAGACCGCCTACCGCAGGGCATGGCCCATTGCCCCTCGCAGGGCCCCGCCAGCCTGGTGCCCCTCTCCGGCCTCCGCAGGTGGGATTCTCCTGTTCCAAAGGAGACAGGGGCTTACTGACTTGGAGGGGAGTCCTGGGCCAGGGGCTGGAGCTGCAGGGCTGGGTCACCCTGCCCCTGCTGTCCCTGCACTTTCCTCTTCAAGTCCTTTTCTGACTTCTCAAAACTGTCCAAGGGGAGGGGTACCCCCCACTGCAGGGATGAGGACACTGAGGAACAGAGGCCAGAGGTCTGGGAGGGGGTCTGTAACTCTGGCACCACTGGAGGTTGAGGCTGGCCTGCACACATCCCCGCGGAAGGCCCCTCCCCATTCCCGTGGCTAGAGTGGCAGGTAGGAGTGTCTGTCCACTTTTAGTATGAAAACCCAGCTGGCTTGTTTTTCCTGGCCTTTCTGAGCGCCACTGGAAGAGTGTGACAGGTAAACCCTCCCGACTTTCTAGAAAAAGGGAACTAGGCAGGGCACAGTGGCTCACACCTATTGTCCCAGCACTCTGGGAGGCCAAGGTGCGGCAATCGCTTGAGCCCAGGAATTCAAGACCAGCCTGGACAACATTGCAAGACCCCAGTTCTACAAAAATTAAAAATTAGCTGGGCACGGTGCTGCATGCCTGTAGTTTTGGCTACTCGGGAAGCTGAGGCAGGAGGATCACTTGAGCGTGGGAGATTGAGGCTGCAGTGAGCCATGATCGCACCACTGCACTCCAGCCTGGGTGACAGAGTGAGACTCTGTCTCCGGAAAGAAATAAAGGGAACTGACTTTTGAATTGTGGTTGTTTCAGGCACTGGACACTGGGGCTGGTGGGCTACCACGGGCCACTGAGAGAGCGGGGAAGGAGGTAAGGGAAGGGTGTGGGGGCAGGCAGAGGGGATGCGGGGAAGAGGGAGGTGCTGCCCCAGCCCAGAGAGACTCTTCTGGGAAGGATGAAGGAAGGGGAGGGACAGCCAGCAAGAGAGGTCAGAGGGGTCCCACCGTCTATGCTTGGGGAAGCTGAGTTTCAGCCCAACTTGGCCTCAAGCCCAGTGTGAGTCAGACCCCGACTCTGACCCCAGGCAGCCAGAGCGGGGTGCTGGGAACTCACTGCCTCCGTCCCCAGCAGCAGTGTGCCTGTGCTGACTTTGGTTCCCTCCTCAGGGCCCAGCCCCTCCCAGGGCACCGCTGATGGTGCTGACGACTCCAGATAAAGCCCCTCCACTCCTTGTCTAGACCCTGTCCATCTCCAGCCCAAGATGGCCCACAATGGGCTCCTACTCAAGCCAGGCCTGTCCTGGGGCTGAACAATGAGGGGCTGGGTTCCCTGAGCCACGCCCATGGTTGGGGGTGGTTAGGACCAGAGCAAGGGGAAACCTGGTGATGGCAGTAGCAGCAGCAGTGGCCCTGACAGTGAGCAAGGCCGGTGCGTGACCAATGGGGCCTCTGGGACTTGCAGCTGAGCTCTGACACAGGGAAGGTGTTGGTCTGACCATGGTTGGAGGCCAAAAAGACCTGGGGGCAGGGCCCTCCTCCGACACCTACCACAGGACACGGCTGGTCCAGGCCCGGTGGTCCCGGCTCGCCCTTCTGGCCCTTCACTCCTTTCCGGCCGGGGACCCCTCGCTCTCCCTGTGCAGGAGGGGAGATGGTGGTATTGGCCATCTGCTGCCAGGCTCAGGAACCTCCAATACCTCTCCGAGAGACGCGCCTGGGGTCAGCCTCCCCCTGCCTCCCGCCCACCTGCCCAGCCCGGGTTCTCTGCCTGCTTCACCTGAGCCTCCACTCCCACCTGCCTCCTTCCCCCTTTCCTCCTGCCCCAGTTCCCATCCAGCTGCCCTCACCTTCTCTCCACGCTCGCTCCGATCACCTTTCTCTCCTCGGGGTCCAGGAAAACCCTGACAAAAAGATTAGAGGCTAAACCCGAAAATAAACTGGAGGTTTGCACCTCTGTTACCGGCTCATCTCCGTTCCTCTCCCATCCACACGCCCACTACCCCCCTGCATATTCGTGACACACGCCGGCCCAGCCCCAGCTGTAGTGATACACTGCTGGGTACAAGGCTGATGTAGGAAGAGCATGCATTTAGGATGCCAGCTGGGCTTGCTCCAAAGTAGTCCCTGGACACCAACACTCAGGCAGAGCTGCTGGCAAGGGGCTTTCTCTCACATCACAGAGGCAGCTGGCGCTGGTCTAGGCTTGGCTGGGGACAGAGACCCTGGAAACCATGGAAGTCACGTCGCTGTCTGATGGGATGAGAAATGGTGACCTCTGTTCTGTGCCCTTGGTTCAACAGCCATCTGTCCATCCATCTATCTGTCCATCCATCTATCTGTCCATCCACCCAACCAAGGTGGTTAAACATCCACTAGGAACTGGGCTGTTGGTTGGACACTAGGGACAGAGAATTGGATTCATCATGGCTGGGCGTGGTGGCTCACACCTGTAATCCCAGCACTTTGGGAGGTCGAGGTGGGCAGATCACCTGAGGTCAGGAGTTTGAGACCCATCCTGGCCAACATGGCAAACCCCCATCTCTACTAAAAAATACAAAAATTAGCTGAGTGTGGTGGTGTGTGCCTGTAATCTCAGCTACTTGGGAGACTGAGGCAGGAGAATTGCCTGAACCTGAGAGGGGGAGGTTGCAGTGAGCCAAGATCATGCTACTGTACTCTGGCCTGGGCGACAGAGCAGGACTCCGTCTCAAAAAACAAAGAGGCCAGGCATGGTGGCTCCTGCCTGTAATCCCAGCACTTTGGGAAGCCGAGGCGGGCAGATTGCCTGAGCTCAGGAGTTTGAGACCGGCCTGGGCAACACAGTGAAATCCCATCTCTACTAAAATACAAAGAATTAGCGGCCTGGCAGTGTGTACCTGTAGTCCCCGTTACTTGGGAGGTTGAGGCAGGAGAATCGCTTGAACCCGGGAGGTAGAAGTTGCAGTGAGCCAAGATCATACCACTGCACTCCAGCCTGGGTGACAGAGTGAGACTCCATCTCCAAAAAAAAAAAAAAAAAAAAAAAAAAAAAAAAAAAAAAAAAAAAAAAAAAATTTTAAAAAGAGAATTGGATTCGACATGCTCCCTTGTTCATGTGTAATGGGGCAGGCAAGAGAGTGCTGATGACAGTCAATGCTCAGTGACAGAGGTTGAAACAGGGGTGGTGGGACTCTGGGGGGAAGCGCTGTTCTATCACAGGTAGGGGGTCAAAGGGAGTTTCTGAGCACAGTCCTTATTACAGCTGGGCCTGCTGGGGTTGAGGAGGGGCCTGGCATTTGCCAGGTAGAGCAGGGTGGGCATGGCTTTGAGATGCCACCCTGAGCACCAGGCCTCCTAGAAGGCAGCTATAGTCACATTCATGGTGGTATGGAGTCTCTTTAGCTCTATCCCCAACTGGGCCCAGAGCCTGCAGTTGGTTCAGCATTGTCCTCTCCCCTCCCTTCCCATCAATGGATCCCAGCCCTCCCAGTCAGAAACACAAGCTACAGCTCTTCCTTTCCCTCCTCCAGTTGCTCTCCCAGGTAATGTTCTCTTTTTTTTTTTTTTTTTGAGATGGAGTCTCGCTCTGTCGCCCAGGCTGGAGTGCAGTGGCGCAAACTTGGCTCGCTGCAACGTCTGCCTCCTGTGTTCATGCCATTCTCCTGTCTCAGCCTCCCCAGTAGCTGGAATTACAGGCACCCGCCACCACGCCCGGCGAATTTTTTTGTATTTTTAGTAGAGATGAGGTTTCACCATGTTATCCAGGATGGTCTAGATCTCCTGACCTCATGATCCGCCCGCCTCGGCCTCCCAAAGTGCTGGGATTACAGGCATGAGCCACCGTGCCCAGCCGGTAATGTTCTCTTTTTAAAGTCTAGGGTGGACACCAGAGTCCTTGCAGCCCTGCATCTGGTCCCATGTCCCTCAAAATAGCTACCTGATTTTCCTGAGAAAAACCTCCCTTCTCACAACCCATTGATTCCGCCCCAGTCCATGGTCTGACTGGTCAGGGCACTGCATTCCTACGGTCTAGTGACAGTTCAGTGTTGACCTAACTGGGACCAGAGAGAGCCCGTGAGACTTCCTGCAGAACACTGGAGTGAGTCAAATTTTCTTTCTTCTTAGTTTGGGCCTGGGAGGATGATGGTCTCGAGCTGCTGGCTTTACCTCACCACCACGCGGAACTTGATTTCCACAGGGAAAGCGGACAAGAGAGGGTGAAAGGCTGAGCTGTGTTGACACAGTTGAGCCCTGGATCCATGTGTTGAACCTCCATACTTTTCAATTATGGGTCATTTTAAGCTAGTTTAAACTATGTTTTCTATGTATGCTACCAGAGAGACTTGATATAATCAGCCTGGGCTAATACTTCCCTTCCTCCTCTTCTCAAATTACTGCTCTAGCTAAAGCCTTATTATCTGTCACCAGGATATTGCAACAGGTTCCTCACTGTTCTCTTCACTTTCTTGCTACAATGCATCATCCATCCACTCATCATCTATCATCCCCTCCATCCATCCATCATTCATCCGTTATCCATCCATCCATCCATCATCCATTCATCATCCACCCGCCCATCATCCACTCATCCATCATCCATCCATCCATTCACCCATTCATCCATCCATTCATCCATCCATCCATCCATCCATCCATCCATCCATCCTGCAGCCATTATGCATTTATCAATCCATCGATTCATCTTCTATTGTCCATCCATCATCCATCTACCAATGTATCCATCCTTTATCCATCCATTCATCTATCCACAAAGGACCTACTCTGGGCTGTGCACTGCACTTGGCAATGGGGACACAGGGGGAACCAGTCAGTTGCAGTCCCAGCCCTGGGGAAGGGGGTCACGCTTCAGTAGCCAGATCAGGTTACTGCATGGGGGCAGAAGATACACACAAGAGGCACCCAATTACTCAAAGCGATGATGAGACACTTACATCTAGTCCTGGCTCCCCGGGTCTGCCCTGAGGAGAGACATAGAGTGGGTGAGAGGGGTTGGGAAGGGGGGCTGGGAACGCAGCCGCCGGGAAGTCCAGCCCCATGGGTTGGCCACAGATGTGGAGGCAAGGAGACCCACCAACCACGCAGGCATGGATGGAGGCCACGACAGACCTGGCATCCACAGAGCCTGAACTCTGGCCCTGTGAAGTGCAGGGACCCAGTGAGGTACAGGGTTGGGGTCCCCAGGCTGAGCGCCACCGTGACCATGTGGCCATAGTTGGAGAGGGAGTTCCGAATGAAGCGGTTACCTTCTCTCCTTTGGTTCCTGGCAGCCCAATAAGGCCCGGTGGGCCAACTGGCCCCTGGATAGAAAAGGAGTGAGTCAAGAGGCATGCTAGTTACAGGAATTAACACCTGTGGGCCAAACAAGGCTTGTGAGACTCACAGGCAGGCCGCTGGGGCCTCTCTCACCAGACGCGCCTTTCTCTCCCTTTGCTCCATCCAAGCCCTGGAGGCAAAGGAGGGAAATCAGTCAAGGGGAAGGGGTTAGACAGAGAGGAGGACAGGCAAGCTTGGAGACTGCAAGGGAGCTGGGATGTGGACAGAGGAACAGATCCAGGCTCCACCAGACCTGACCCCAGCTTACTCCCTGGTGAGGGTGATCAGGAGGAGGTCTGGCCATGCACATTGCACCTTTTCCCGAACAGGCTCCCTCAACCCCATGGAAGGTGATTATGGTCACACCCATTTCAAAGATGAGGAAAGCAGGTGCAGACAGGGGTGGGGACGGGCCCAGCCACACAGTGGGAGGCAGCAGAGCTGGGTCCCCATCAGGCTTCTGCGGCAAGCCTTGGACCCTGTCCCTGATAGCAGCTGCCTCTTTGAAACATGAACTGTGGCGGCCTTAAGAGAAAACAGAACCAGAAGCAGCGCGTCTGGTGGGGCTGCGGGCTCAGGCCTGGGGTTCCATGACTCTTAATCCCACATCTGGCCTCTGAGCTGGGGAAGCAGAGATATGCTCGTGCCAGGAGGGTGGTGTGACAAAGAGTGAGGCCAGATGGCCTCCCCGTCTGTGTCTGCCTCCCTGGAGCAGGGCATGCAGGCAGGCCACACTCGAGGATTTAATGTCAGAGCAGGCAACACTCCATTATGTAATACACACCAAGCCCAAGACTTTGTGCTCAGGCTGTGACAGCTGAGAGACAGATGTGTGTGGGGCGGGCTGGGATGGGGAGAGGTGGGGACAGTGCAAGAAACTGAGAGGCACAGAGAAAGGAGAAGGGGACAAGCAGTAGAAACCGTGGGTGGTGGACCCAAGGAGGAGAGAGGTACAGACTGGGGTTCTGGGCAGAGGGAGAAAGTGGAGAAGAGAGCCCCAAGTGTGGAGAGGGGGCACTGGCCCCGATGACATCAGGGAGGTTATGCCCTGGGGAGTTGGGACGTTCAGGTGCTGGGAAGACTCAGGGATGGGCCAGGGCGGAGCATCAGGCCCTTTGCTTTGCCCATTGGCAAGGCTGTTAGAAACTGCCCAGGCAGTGAGTCTGAGGTCAGTAGAGGGGGCTATGCCCACTCACCTTGGGACCCTGGATTCCCTGGAGGCCCTGCAGGAGGAGGAAGCAAATAAGAAGGCTGGCTCCGGACCCTCTTGCAGGGGCCACTCACTGGCCCCTGGGGTCCTGTCCTGGGCTCTGCCCTCTGCCCATGTGCCCCTCCCTGAATGACGAAGCCCGCTCTCTCCTGGGTCACGGCTCTGGGACCTAGCCCCCATCCTGCCTCTTGGTTTCCTGGCTGCTTCAAACCAAACCAAAGCAAACTGTCCTTACCATTGGGCCTGGGGGGCCAGGGGGCCCTGGCTCCACTATGAGCTGAGCCTAGGGAGGGTGAGAGACAGGTTAGTCACCCGCCGCCTGTCGCCCTCACCCACCCGCACCCCAGCTCATCACATACTGCTGGATCCACAGTCTCCTTCCTGTGCCCAGAGGGCAGAGTCTGGTGAGTGGGGGGCAGCTGGCCTGTGGGTTCTCAGAGGGGCCTCGCTCCCCTTGCTCTCCCTCCCCTACTGCCCTGGGTTTGCTCAGGCCAGGTGGCCTTTTTGTCCCAAGGCGCAGGGTCCCCACCCAGCCTGGACTGGGTCTTGGGGGAAGCCCTGACCCCCCACACCCCCTTACCAGGCTCTCCTGTAGGCTGTCAGACGCCGACTCCCCCTTCTCCCCCTTGAGGCCATCAGCGCCCTGCAGGATGGCATGGCCTGTGAGTCCTTTGTGTCCAGCACCTACATCACCACCCACGGTGCTTAGTGACCTCCCTTCCTTCCCCCATGTGGCTTCGGGGAACAGTCCTCAGTTAGCTGTTGCAACTGAGAAGTTTTCCCTGGATCCATGGGCCATGCCTTGGGTGGTGAGCAGCATGGGCTTCAGAGAGCACAGGAGCAGCTGCACAGATAGTTTTCTTGGGGTGCAGGGAACAACCAGGGGCTCTGAAGCAAAGACCCCGGGGTCAAACTCCAGTGCCCCCTCTAGCCCAGTGATCATCAGGGATGGACAGTGGATGTCCCAGTGGTGGTGTAACACCTGGTGGCTCTTCCAATCGGGCCACAAAAGCAATAACAAAAATGATGAGGACAACAACAGTGGGTATTTGCTGTGTGCCAGCCACCGTCAGCCCAGCCACGCATGCCCTTGAGGGAGGGGGATGATCACCCCACTTTGGAAGTGAGGACACCAAGGCCCCAGGAGGTTAGGTTGCTTGCCCGGACCTGGATGCAAACTTGGGCAGCTTAGGTCAGAGCACGTGGCATAACCATCTGGTCAACGCACTTCCATGGCCACACCTCCTGATTTTAGCTGCCATCCGAGGCAGGCGGAAGGCCTCTTCCAGATGAGAAGTGGAGGCCGGGAGAGAAGAGGGCAGTGCTGGCCCAGAGCCTAGAGTGTCCCCGGCCGGCTGGGCACTGAGACTGCAGGGGCCGTCAGAGGCACGCCCTGGCCTCCCCACAGCACGGGGCTTCCACACAGGAGGCGCAATGTGTGGCCCAGCCCAGTCACATACCGGGAGGCCGGACAAGCCCATCTCGCCTGCTTCCCCTTTGAGTCCAGTTGGTCCAGGCTCTCCTGGGTCTCCTTTCTGTCCTTTGGGACCCTGAAAGCCACAGGAACAAGGGATTAGTGGGGCTCAGGAGGTCCTCTCCCTTTCCCCACCCCAGCAGGTCCCCAGAGCTTAGTTCATGGCAGGTCCCCACTTTCTCTTTGTGGAGCCTCACCTCCAGCCACAGTGGCTGGGAGCCTTAGCTGAGTGCAGTGGGTGGGGATGAGGGCAATGCCATTCCTGGCTCACTGCATCCGGGTGCAGGCACCTCAGGGCAGGGACCAGGGGCAGACGGGTGAAGCATTGAGCCTGGAGCTGCCCCTCTGGGGGCACTCATGGGGCCACATCGCTCTGTGCTCACACCTCAGAAGCTAGTGGTGGGACTCCCCACCCCCACAAACTCTTCCAGCCACCGAATCCCTCCATTCAACCAATCACATAACGTCCAGGATGAGACACACACTGCGGACCCAGTGGGAAAGACTCACCCTCGAATAGCCAGTGACCCCATGTATGCTTACGTCTGTATAGGCTATCACACACAGATACACACACACACACAGATACACACACACA